CATGAATAAATTTGACATTAAACATAATCCAAGTTGAAGTGTTACATCATTTTCAGACCCCTTTTTGGCATTTGCATTTAGTTGCAGGCCAAACTGACAAAGACCATGCAGAATAATGTAGTATTTTAATTTCACGGCAGAGAAAGCTATGTAGTCTCTGTAAGTAGATGTAGAGGGGGAAATATAGTTATTGGTATCGGTTATTGGCCAATTAAGTTTTAACATATTGGCATATCGGATATCGGCCAAAAATCCAATATCGTGCATCCCTAGTATTTTGTTTTAGTTTTGTTTATGTCTCCACACTCACATATAGCACCTCTGATTGTATGAACATAACTCTTTCTCAGTATCGTACTTGATGAGGAAAGGATACAAGGTGGCTCAGAAGGTTAACAATGTTAGAGTCTGTCTCAGTGCTTGTCTACACTGAGAACACACTGAACCCCTCTGATGCAGTTTGTGTCACATTCATCCTCCATTTTTATCTTTCCCTCTCCATTTTTAGGAGGTCAAGCTTGGTTATTACAACTAAACTTTACTGGGGAGGAAAGTAAGTATGAAAACCCATTTTCCATTCATGAAATCTCTGAGAGACAAATGATCATGTATGTGGTATTGCTTACTATAAAAAAAAAACATTTGCTTTTTTGTGTGATTAAATAAAGCCATTTTACATGAAAATGTATCATGTTTTTCTCCTTGACTTTGTTTTAAATATACGTTTTGGTGTTTCACCAGTACTGACAGATAATTAGTAAAATAGTGAGATACCAGAGCTAGAATTTAAATGACTTGTCTTCCTGAGTGAGTTCAGTTCAAACAAAAGACACGTTCTTGAAAAGAAATGGCTCATTATTTGTACACGTTGTTGAGATTTCTCAAAAGTTCAGATCTACTGAAGTGGGGTTCTGGAAACACTTAATAATAATAATAATAATAATAATAATAATAATAATAATAATAATAATGCATTTTATTTGAAGGGGCCTTTCAAAACACTCAAGGTAACCGATAGATAAAAAACAATAAAACAATAAAATACAGATATCAATAAAATCAAATTCTAATAATGATAAAATACATAATGACATTAAACAGAATAAGCAAGTTTGGAAAAAGTGAGTTTTAATGTTAGATTTAAATAAGGGCAGAGAGTCTGAATTGTGGATGTGCTGTGGAAGAGAGTTCCAGAGACGAGGGGCTTTGTGGGAGAAGGCTCTGGATCGCATGGTTGTCAACCGGGCAGGAGGTATTACAAGAGAGATGGATAAAGAGGAGCGAAGACTTCGGGCAGGTGTGTAATAGCAAAGAAGATCAGTGAGGTACAGAGGTGCTAAGTAATGGAGAGCTTTAAAAGTGAGGAGAATCAAAGTCGATGTGATATTTTATGGGTAACCAGTGAATATCTTTAAGGATAGGGGTGATGTGTTCCTTCGACGTAGTTCTAGTGATGATCCGGGCAGCTGTGTTTTGAACAAGCTGACGTTTATGGATGATTTTGAGAGGAAGATCTGAGGGGAGGGAGTTACAGTTGTCTAATTGAGAGGTGACTAGAGCATTGATAAGGATAGGTGTGCTGGTCGGGGCAAGAAATGAACGGAGACGGTTGATGTTTCGAAGATGAAAATATGCAGACCGAGTAATGTTATTGACATGAGATTCAAAAGATAATGTGCTATCAAGGATGACACCCAGACTCTTAGCTGTAGGGGAGGGAGAAACTGTGGAATCATCAACTTTAATTGTGAAACTATTCCATTTGGATAAGGTAGATTTGATTCCAACAAGGAGGAATTCTGTTTTATTTGAGTTCAGTTTTAAGAAAGTTCTGATTAAACCATAATTTGATTTCACAGAGGCAGTCTGAAAGGAAGGATGGTGGAAGGGTGGTGTTGGGCTTGGTAGAGAGGTAGAGCTGGGTGTCATCCGCATAGCAGTGAAAATTAATACCAATTTTTTCAAAGATAAGGCCAAGTGGAAGAAGATAAATGATAAACAGGAGTGGACCAAGAACAGAACTCTGCGGTACACCTGAAGTACTTTGTAACTGTGGAGGACTGTGACTTAAAGTTCTTGAGTTGGACAAAGTGCTGACGGTCAGAGAGATAAGACTGAAACCAATTTATAGCAATGCCAGAAAAATCAATGGAACGTAATCTATCAAGAAGAATATTGTGTGAAATGGTATGAAATGCTGCACTCAGGTCAAGGAGAATGAGAATTGATAAAAGTCCAGAGTCGGCAGCAACCAGGAGATCATTGGTGATTTTAATCAAAGCTGTCTCGGTGCTGTGGAGGGGGCGGAAACCTGACTGAAGTTCTTCAAACAGATTATTATCAGAAAGATGACTGAACCCATGGGCTGCAACTGTTTTTTTGAGTATTTTGGAAATAAAGGGTAGGTTAGAAATTGGTCTGAAGTTATTTACATCAGTTGGATCAGCACCTGTTTTTTTTTTAAGAATTGGAGTTATTGTAGTAAAAAAAAAAAAAAAAAAGCAGTTAGTATCTTACCTGTTGTGGATAGCTTTTTGAATAACCTCAGTTTAGAGAAACAAAGCTTAATCTGCACCTGTCTGCTGAACAAAGAACTAGTCCAAGAGAAGGCAAGATAAAAGTTGATGTAGCACCAACCACAAAAGTTTAATAACAATTCCTGCAGACGCCTGTTTTATGAATCATTACATTGTCATCAGTTTTGCATTACATAGTTACTTTAGCAGAAATATTTTATTATTACTGATAAAAGTGTAACAAAATGAACTACACCAGAACCATGACAGCTATCTGTTGGTAAACTGTGGTTTGACTACACTTGCTGCTAACTCTTTGTAGCACTAGCTTGCTGCTGCTATTGTGCTTACAGAAAATCATAAAGATCTATACAAAAAAGTGTAGAGGTGCTATAAAATTTAATAAAAAGTTTTTTTGTTTCTAAAAAGGGGGATTGTTTAATAACAACAGAAGTCTTCTTAAGTCTTGACCTCGATGGGTTTAGCCAATAATGATTTAAATCTTATTTCTTTTAACAAAGGTTGTTCAAAGAACCATCCACAACAGGTAAGATATTAATTAATTATAGCATTTCCTTAGAACGCCACTTCAAAAGATCTGAGCTACAGCTTTAAGGACAATTTGCCAACACACAGATCACACACACTCTGGGTTGTCCAACGTCAGGCTGCTCAGCTGAAGATCAGCTGGATGTTCATGAGTCAAACGTTTTTAACGAGCACAGAAACAAACAGGCTCATGGATCAGTTTGTCCTCACAAGCAAAACAAGTCATCCTGTTAGAGTTAATATCTTAAAACCAAATCAGACATTTAAATATCACAACTTTGTTGTTGCCGAGCACACTTTTCCTTTTCTTTGTGTCCATTTGTCTCTTTGAACAGCCTGAAGATGAAGAATAACTGGGTCTGATGATTAGGAGAAAATTATTCCTGTTTCTCAGAGGAAAATTCTGTCCTCCATCACTTCTGTACAGTTTCTGTTTTTGTTTATTTGTTTATTTGAATGTTTCTAACATTGTGTATTAGCAGGGTGTGCACCGACCGCTTACATCAAACACTCTGAAATGGATGTTTCATGCCATTAAGAGTTTGTAGGAACATGTAGGATTATTTCTTGGACCACAATTGTCCCACTGCAGCGTTTCTGTGAGATTACTTTGTCCAAAAAAAAACCAAAAAGTTTTAAACAATTTGTGAGTTTTTCACACGTACAGAGTAAATATTGACTGACCGAATGCTCTCATTAAATGTTTTGTATCAGAGCCGAGACGGAAAGGGGCTTGTCACGGAAACACATTATTGAAGGTAAAACTTTACACTTGGAGTTTGTTTCTTGACTAAAAAATTGTTTCTCGTCACGTTTTTGTTAATTCAGTTTCTCAATTTGTGTCTCTCAGGTCTAAAAGGTTCTCTACAGAGGATGCAGATGGAGTATGTAGATGTAGTTTTTGCCAACCGCCCAGACAGTAATACTCCCATGGAGGGTGAGTCAGCGTATTGATATTCATTTATATATATAAAAAAAAAAATCTAACTATATTTAATATATATTTTGTAGCACTGAAACAAAGGCACAAATGATTTTCTTCAAAAATGGTTGACGGAAGTTTAGCAAAGTGTTGCTTTAAGTTTTGTTGCCACAGTGCAAACATGAATCATTTTGTTCAGCAGGTAACATTATTATTATTAATGTTGTGCACTTTGCTGAGCACGATCTCCTTCAGCTGTTGAATTGCAGAGTTAAATGTCTGCTCATCGTCATTTTGTTGCTGCATATTTATACAAGCTGCATTTTACTGAGTCTGATATTCCTGCACAAGAAATAAAACAGGTCCCATGATTAAAAAAATTGTTTAATAATAAGTTTTTATTCATTGTTTTTTCAACACAACAGTTAAAAAAAGATCAGTTCCAGAGATGTGAACTGAACTGTGGGAGTTTCATGCAGTTTCAGGGGAACAGGTAGAGTTCTGTTGTAAGGTTCTATTAAGTTATTTTTGTTTCAAGTGAGGGTTACCTACAATTAATTTTTTGTGGTTGTTTTATAATATTTGTAGCTCTGAATGAGAAACTGGAAGCTCAGAAGCAGATAAACTTGTATTCATCTGTCACTAGTATCAGTCTTGTTTGGAGAATGAGGTCAAATTTAAAACCTTTCATCATTTCAAATATGACAAACATGTCTGCGTATTTCAGTTCATGTACTGCCGTAATGAACAATCATAAAATAAAAATATTTGAAGATTTATATTTTTAATAATCTCTCCAGAATTTATGTGACTTACGCCACAGAAAGTTAATTTAACATCAGCAGAAACAAATTAGAGACTCAAGAGAGTGAAACTTAATGAACTGTTGAAGGAATGCTGAGTTTGCAGTTTTAACATCAGTGATTTTAAACACGATGTGACGTTTTTTCACCAAATATAAATCTTTAATTCTAGTGTTGCATCTGCAGCGTGTCTTCTCCAGTGAACGAAATGAGGCAGGCGTTCATTTAGTTCATTTCCAAGAAGTTGTTTATTGACCAGCACATTAGAGGTGCATTGTTTTCTGCACAGCTGTTGTTCTGCAGGTTGATCCAGTGAACAAATGCCTTTCAATGTCTGGACAGTTAATGCTTCCAATGGGAATCTAAACTTTTTGTTTAAAGACCATGATGTTTTTTCTTTTTGTAGTATTAAAGTGGATCAAATGCTAAAATATGAGATGTGAAAAGAAACCATGAAGTTTTCCATATCAGACACAATAGCTTGGTCAAAAGTGTACCCCTTTTTTAACAAACTGAGGTACAGTAGTCCCTCGTTTATCGAGAGGGTTACGTTCAAGAGCGGCCCTGTGATGGACTTGCGACCTGTCCAGGGTGTACCCCGCCCCTCGCACAGTGATTGCTGGACATGGGCACCGGCGACCCCCATGACCCAAAATGGAATAAACGGGTAAAGATAATGGATGGATGGACTTATGTGTAGCTAATAAATTTTACTTAACAGCGCTTCTCCACTCAGAGGTCTTCGTGGGCTGGTTCTGTGCAGTCCTTGAAGACCTAATCACCTTTTTTGGGGGGGCAGGAGGGTGTTTGACCTTTGGGTGGTCGGTGCAGGACCGGTGGTCCAATTGAGTGGTCCGAGAGATGAAAAATGTCCCAGTGAGTTCTGAATGGAGCACCAGACCTTCAGTGGCGCGCATCCCGCTCAGAAGTCCTGTAGAAGTCTGTAATAAGGACCAAACTTTCCCATCAGATCAAAATTTTCCCTCTAGTATTTCAGAAGAAGGCAATGGGGATTCTGTGCGGGACACTGTTGGATTCTGGGAAATGTAGTCTTTATGAGCCGTGATAAAGTGTAGGCTTACTGAGAGAAAACTACAAAATGGCGATGCCTATCTGAAGTATTTCATTTTTTTCTTAAACTTTTTACTGTACAGTACTGTCACAATCCCGTGAGTAATATTAAAATTGACGATCTTGTGTCCTAAACAAATTTATTATTATTTTTTAATATGTTAATTTGGGTTGACAAACCGCGATATAGCGAATCCGCAAAGGTTGAGCCGCGAAGCAGCGAGGGACTACTGTAGCTGAAAAAGCTATCCCACACATTTAACGTAATTGTGCACAATTTTTCCACAGAACCCCATGTCAACATCAAACATTTTGATAATGCACATTAAACTGTAGGTTCGTGTTAAAAAGACGAGAGAACAAACTTTTTACTTAATCTCTAATAAACACTGGTGACCCTGGCAGGCTTGATGAGGTGTTTTTACTGTTATAAGGCAGCTTGTTCATAAACATGATGCTTTTTGTGTTATTGAAGCTCTACAATTTACACATAAACACAAAAAAAGTTCAATGTTTTTAGTTTGTCTTAACTTTTTATTGATTTCAATGTTTATGCACTTCCCCCCACTATACTTTGGTCACTTCCTGGTCCATCCATTAGAACTGGTGTTCTTCTTTTCTTGGCTTGATTTATTGATTTATTTATTGTTTTGTAGACTTTCTGCTCTCATGCAGGCCAGAAATTGTGGCAGGTGGCTTTTAAATGTGAGCGCAGCATCTTGTGGAAACAAAGAGACCGTCAGGAGGGCAGGGTGAAGACCAGAGACAAAGACAGGAGGAGCAAGAAAATCAAAAGAAAGGGGCGTTTTCCTCGTCTCTAGTGTGTTATTTCCTGTGGCAGGATGTTGTTGACTTGCTCATGTTGTTAATAATTATCTGCCAAACAACAAAATAATTATAAAAAAAAAGAACAGAAGGCTTTTTTCTAGTCCTTTTTTCTAACTAAGTTCTTTAACTTTTATTTATTGCCCTCATTTTTGCAAATTATCTGCCAACTTTTGTCCTTAAATAATAATAATAATAATAATAATAATAATAATAATAATCCCACATCTGTTGTCTTGCCAAGAACTGGTTGTGTGGAATGGAAAACAAGAGTCCTGCCACTTGATGATGAATGATGGCGTTATAATTGGAAAGAGTGCAGACAGTGATGAACAACCTTAATGTCAGCCCCAGTTTGAGCTTCTGTTGACGCTGACAGCTGCTGTCTTGCCCAGTCAGCAGTGTTAAAGGTAACTGCACCATTAAAATCTGCAGCTTGACTGTGATCCGCGGGCCTTTGGTACGAGAACTTGTCCGTTCATTAGGGAAGCGGGCTGAGCCATCATATGGTAAGAGAGAATCAGTGATGAGGGCGGCCATTTTTCTTTTATCAGTTCATCAAAAATCATAAATAATTGTTCTTCCACCCAGGACGTCATTTTTCTTCTTCTTCAGCTCTTTCATTCTTTTTCTTTGTAAGCTTGAAAACAAAACCTTTTCTTTCTTGGCGATTTTCTGATGTAAATGTTTCGTTTTTGACTCTAACTTTTATGGAACTTGTCTTTTGCTTATTGCAATTACAGCCTGCGGGCAAATAACACCAGCCTGAAATTATACTGTTATACATATTTTTTTAAAATTTAAAGTAAAAAATAAATAAAATATTCTAATGTGATTCTATTCTTACAATGACACACTTTATTATTGTTACTTTTTACTTTGACAGTTTATTTTAGTTCAGGTCAGGTTCTGAGTGTTTTACCGTCTAACGATTAAAAAGATTTGGCCATTTAGTTATTAATATGCTGCTATTTCATCTGCCCCTGCTGTTGTAAGGTATCAAATAGGCTGATACTTTCTTCTGAGTTCATCCAGATAACTGTAATGATGTAGAAATGTGCACTTTATGCAGAAATTGTTCGAGCAATGACCTACGTGATAAACCAAGGAATGGCGATGTATTGGGGAACGTCTCGGTGGACAGCGATGGAGATCATGGTAAGTACCACAAGAAGTGTACTATGATCTCTGAAGGTATGGAGTTTCAGAAATGCCATGTACTAAAAAATACAAGATATTGTTTTAGGGGATTTTTTATTACTTTATCACAGTAAAAAATAAACAACACCTTGGATACATTAAACTGTCAGCAAAAGAAGTCCCAGGACTTGAGCTAACCAAAACCATTGAACTGTTACTTTTGTACATTTATTTTTCATTTAGATATCACTTTTTATCACCCGACATGGAGCAAAGAGGGGAAATAGTAATGTCCTCCATCCATCCATCCATCCATCCATCCATCCATCCATCCATCCATCCAACTATCCATCCATAGCCTATTTCATCTATCTATCTATCTATCTATCTATCTATCTATCTATCTATCTATCTATCTATCTATCTATCTATCTATCTATCTATCTATCTATCTATCTATCTATCTATCTATCTATCTATCTATCTATCTATCTAT